ACTTGATTATGATTAACTTTCAAAGCATTCCCTTCACGCGTTCTTGGTTTACTCAAAATAGCATTCTAGCATCTGATATATATATTTTTTTATTGCATGTTAGAGGAACTAGGCTGGTTCTTTTTAGGGCTGGTTTGGTTCCATTAATATTCAGATTTCTATAAAATAATTTTATACCATGGAACTATTTTGCAGCTGGACTCTGTATGCAAGAAAACAGTTTCAGAGAAGATGACAGTTATTTAAACAACGGTTCTTTAATTAGAGCTTTCCTCGTTCTGATTAAAATCACTTTCGATTATTGTAATTTTTCCAATCGTACTAATTGTCCTAAATATTAAAAAAAAAAAAAAAAAACATGTTTTAGTAGACGACGCGCACTTGCGCCATCTTTAGAGGGGTGGCTGAAATTCGAGGTTGAGAAGTTTGCAATGTAGCGCAAAGACAAGAGAAGAAGACGACGAAGTGATCTGAGCCGGAACGCTAAATCTTCTATCTCCGGAATTTGCTATTCTACGCAACTTCGTCGGTCCTTTGGACTAAGAGGTCTCCTTCGATGGCAGGAGCTAGGACAGCTCCCTGCATGGCAAGAGAAAGGATGCATGCTGGTGTGTCTCTTTTGGAAAACGACATATCCATCACGGCATGACAACACCAGGCCAGTCGCGCACTCGATGAATCCCAGGGGCCCTACGTTGCGCTTTCTGGACTTCCACGGTGACAGGGGAGAAGAAACGTAAACAACGCAACAAACGCAGATTGGATGTTGATTGGTGAGAGTCGCTGATGACGAATGTCCGCAGGAAAAATCAAAGCTCACTTTTCTTTGCTTTCTTCTGCGGAAATTCGTCATCAGCTACCCTCACCAATCAACATTCAATCTGCGTTTGCTTCGTTGTTGATGTCACTTCCTTCTCCCTAGTCGCCATGAGAGTCCAAAAAAACGCAACAGAAGGCCCAAGGATTGCAGTCGATCTGTCTGCTCGGAGACCGCCAACATGGAGAGCGAAGATTCCGGAGGCGAGTGGCGCAGATCCGGCAGGACGCGCTGTCGTTTAGAGAACAGCGACTCGTCTTCAGACGTTCTGCAACAACCAAAGAAGCACGATAACACTAACCTCACCGTCATCTTCGTTCCTGTAAAAGAGGAGGCCAGGCTTACAGCGCTCAACGGCCTGAAAGTTTCCGAAGCCATTGAAAGTTTCTGAAGCCCCCTATAGTTCGATCTCCTGCCCAATAGCCCGCGCTCCTGGCTTTGAGGCATACATTTCTATAGCACGAACGCTAGTACTGCGAAGGAACGATTCCCAGCAGCGACCTCGAGCTCTTGTGCTTGAGGCATTGGCTGCATCCTCAGGATGAACGGAGTGTAGCAACGCGAGAGCTTAACACGCTCACGCGATATATGCCGTCACCGCAATACAAAACGTCATCGCGAAAATAATAAATTAGTCACATTCCTTACAAAAAGGATAAAAAACTGATTTCGTCGATTTTATTTTTTTATTTTTTTATTTTTTTTTTTTTTTTTTTGTATTAGCGCTTGACTATGAGATATAGCAAACTGAAAGAAAAGTCAGTGTGCGACGCACTTTTATAATCATGAGCAACACTACGGGAGAGGATCTGACTCGAATTCCCTGAGATAAATAACGTCACAATGGCATTCAATATCTTTTTTTTTTTTTGTATTACGGAAAGGGTAGAGCATTTTTAGTGCATTATTAACCAACATAAGGAAGTTTTTTTTTTTTTTATGCTAAAGGTTAATACTGTTTGGGTTAAGGGGAGGGGGGGGGGGGGGGGAGGTGAAACACGCGCCCTAGTAATTCGTTAAGAATCGATTCACTCAAATTACGGCTGTTCGCTGAAACGTCATTCGCTCCACGTGTTGGGCGGGGGATGCTTGCCGGATATCAGCACAATATAAATCTGTTAATGCAAATTTCTTTTCGTAAAGCAGTTTACTGTAAAAAAAAAATATATTTTTCGCGGGCTTAATATTTTGTGACTTAGGTCAAAGTTCGAGTTTTTGAATAATTCGCGGATTCTAATGTTCGCGACGCGGTGGGATCGCAATATAGATTTTAATATGTTTACATTTTACCGGAATCGTTCGCGGGACCTATTGTTCGCGAATTGTCGGCGATTCGCGAAAATCCGTGAAAATTAGGTCCTCGCGAAAATTAAGTCCTTTAGAGAGTGTATATATATATATATATATATATATATATATATATATATATATATCGGGTGTTTTTTTGTTTTTGTTTTTTATTTAAAGATTTGTTTTAAAAAAGCCTTGAAAGCTATACAGCGGAACATATTATAGGAGGCTAATCGTAACGATCGGTCGGTTAAGCCTCATTGAAAACCACTAAATCAGTCATTTTCAGAAAGACATTGAGCAAGTGAGAAGCGTAGTAGTGCACTAAAGTTACCACTCTTGGAGCAGGTACAAGGCTGGCATTTGTAGTAAACCCGCCCCGCGTTTTTTTTGTCTCTTATGAGAACCCCAGCTTTGTACCTGCTCCACGAGCGGTAACTTGAGCGCACTACTACGCTTCTCGTGCGCTGAAAGTCTTCCTAAAACTTACTGATATAGTAATTTTCGATGCGGCTCAGCAGGTTTCTAATTAGAACCATATGTCTATTTTCACTAATCAAAAAGTTAATTAACAAATTTTACTTAATTAGCCGACTGATCGCTACGATTTGTTTTCGGTACCGGTCGAAGCGCACTCGAGCCGACCGCGACAACGCACAAAACGGTTTCATCAGACATTGTCAGGGCACTCACAATCTTCGCCGCCCTCGTCATCGAATGAAACGCGTCGAAGATGTCGCACCGCCTTGTACGCGAGAGTTTTTCGAGGGCCAGGTGAGCCACGTTGACGTAGAAGTTGTCGTTCACCCGGTCCTGGGGAACGAGCACGCAGAGATTGCGCGTCGGCGCGTATTCGCAGCGATTCAAATCGATAGCGCCGGGTATCGAAGCCGAGCTTTCGTGTGGCGTACATAAGACGAACGTTAATGCCAGTAGAGCCGCCATGATGTCGTCCATAGCTGCGGTTTCTGAAAACTGGCGAACGCGACGGACCAACTACACCGACGTGCTGCTCTGACGTAACGCGCGGCACATGCGCAAACTCTTCGTGGTCTATCTTCTGTTAAGAGCGTTACGACCCCTTTATCATCAGAACGAGAACAAGTTCTTGTTCTTTGGACGGGAGGGCTCTAAATAGCACGCCTCTCAATGTGTGCTTAGAGGGGGGGAAAAATACCGAGGGATACGAGATGCTTGGAATAAAGAGCGTGCTGGTAAGGGTAATATAATTAATGTCCCTCTTTGCGTTTTATGTTCTTCCCATTAATTGTATTGCGAGAAAAACCGTATGTATAAAAAAAAACGTTTTTTTTTTTTTTTTAATTTAAGTTGCGGCTTTTGAATGGAGGAAAACGTTTAAGCCGTTAAGGCACGTTTCGATGTCTTTGGAGTATTCCATTGTCTACTAAAGAAGAGCGGCGCGTGAGTACCTTCGTATACTTTCGGCGCGTAAACATGAAAATGTCCGAAATACACGAGAAATGCTCACTATAAAGTAAATGCTTTCCAAGCAAGCGCCATAAAAAGAAGCCTTTTTTTTTTGGGGGGGGGGGGCGGGGGGAGTTTTAAGCAACGGACATCTCTTTATTAAGAGAACCCATTACAAAAATAAAGGGGAAACGAACACAAATAGTCACCGTTGCACGACTTCTCTGGAATGTTTTGCCAGGCCTTGACAGGCCAAACTAAAGCCGCGGTCACTCACATTGCATACACATCATACAAAAGACAGTCTGCACACACACTATAGAGAGTTTTTAAGGAACCGGTTTTGTACATCCGATGCGGTAAGACGGGCCCTCCGGTACCAACTGCGCATATGCGACTCTTCTGGGATAGCGCATGCGCAGTACGTACCGGAGGGCCCATCGCACCGTATCGTACGTGCAAAAACAGTTCCCTAAAACTCCCTACTGTCTCTGGCGTGTTCTTTACTCGAATGACGGTCCAGTCACATTTTCTCGTACAAAATCTGCGTTTAGACATGTTCAAAGTCTACACATGAAGCAAACAGGCTTCGAACATATCCTTGGGGCACGTCCGCAGACGAGTCTTTCATCGCGTCTGCAGACAGCCTTTTTTGTACGATGCGTGATGAACAAAGAGAGTGCGGCAATGCGGAGCGCAAGTTCGTCTGCTTCGTTTGCAGCAGTTGCGATGAAGTCAGAACGCCGAGCCCTGATGGGCTCCGATTGGAAGGACAGTGGACAGACCTCAAGGCGGCTTGCTTTGATGTCTACCCACTATCCTTCAATTAGAGGAGCCAATCAGAGGTCGGCGTCTCTCTGACGTCGTCACGACACCTGCACACACACAAAAAAAGCGGACGAACTGGCGCTTTGCATGTGCCTTGTTTCTCTCGGTAAAGCGTTCCACAGCTCAGGGATGATTCGTCCCTCTTTAGGCGATTGCTCTCTCTGCCTGGCCACCGTAGGTGAAGAAAAAGAAATGCCCTTGTTTGGGAACCAGACTGGAGACCGTGCGGCACGCCTTAGCAAAACTTGACTATCACAAGATCTATGCACACGCCAGCAGCTGCAAAAGGACGTACTTAGGGTGTTTCTGTGTGCCGCCATTTTTGCTGCTGTTGGAGCGTGTAGATCTTCTTGTGATCTACAGTGGATCGTCAATCTGTCAGGTATTTATAGCGCAGAGGTGGCTACAATACCAGTCTTAGAAAAAAAAAAAAGACAATTCATGTCTCGTGTAAAAGCGAGCCAGCAACAGGAGGGTTGCCTTACCGGCTACTTTGCGGTCGCAACACTCGAAACTGATCCATGTCGTTTATTTCTCAAAATAAAGGGGAATGTATTCGGGGAACCAGGTACAAACTCCTGCTTCTAAAGCGGTTCATTTTTCCTCCTCCGATTTTTATGGAAGTTCGTTCTTCTTCTTTTTTTTTCAGCACCGTATGTTTTATATTTTTTCGTCGACATAGTGCAAACCTTTTTGAAATAACTTAGGCAATGTTTCTCAAACACTTTTGTACTTCTCCAGGATTGGGTAGATGTTGTCGAACGCCTGGTAGAGTTGATGCCTCACTTTAGCACCTACACAAAAGAAAACAAAAACAAATAAAGTAGTAAGTTTACATGCGAGTGTGCCTGAACTGAGTAAAAAAAAAAAGTTCGCGAGTGTGTGTGTTCTTTTTTTCTTTTTTGTCACAATAAAGCAACATTTAAAACTGCTAGATTTGAAATGCCAGTTATTTGATAAAAATCAAACAACCTTGATCATGCTGACATAAATTGGTAAACACAGCATGTGTGGTAGGCCTTCCAGGGGCCTTAATCTGGACACTTGGCGAAAAAGCCAGCGAGATATCCGGCGGCTATTATTGGCCGGCGCCATGCATAATCAAGTGCGGCGTTTCCCAATCACGGCCGCTGGATTGTTCGCCTTTTTTGCCACGAAGTGCCCAGATTAGGACCCCTGGTAAGAAGAAAAGGCCGTCTGAACGGCACCACCTACCGAGGATTCGCTCCCATTTCTTACATACGCCCTAAGATGGCGCACCGTGCCAAGAAAGGCCGCGAAGCGCGCGACCGTGCCTTCGCGCGCCGCGCGAATGAGTTCGCTTTTGCGGGCTACCAACCGCCGACCCTAAATAGCTCAGTCTTGGTCAGTGGATTGTATTTTCTGCAAAAAACACGAGTAGATATAGCGCGTATTTATTGAGTGTCTGGACGCGGTGTTCCACTGGGACATTCTTCAGCACACGCTATTGTTGTTTGCCTCTGGACATGCGAGCCACGTTCACGCTTCTCGGACTCCACAGTCAATGGAAGACAAGAATGAGTGCTAACAATGCTGATCTGAATCACCGAACAGTAAGAGAAATTTTCATTGCAAGTGGGGCGTATATCAGCTAGCTCTACCGTGCGCTTCCTGATCCCTCGGATTCGTTCCGAATACTGGATGAGTTGGTGTGTTTAAAAGGATTTCAATATACTGGGCGTCCGCCGCTAAGTGGCATATTCGTTTTTGACCAACTTGTAAGTGCGTGAGTGTTTGTGTCTTTCGTTCATTTGTTTTTAAAGAACAATAAAAAAACTGATTTCTCAGTCGACAAAGCACATGGATCACACTACCTGCGAAAAACTGAAGTTTTGTTTATGGTTTTATATGAGAATAACGCTTTATGGTGTCGGTTTTTTAACAGCCGGCTCTTACAACCGAGCGCTACAGAACTCCCTGAAACTCAGCTGAAAAAAAAAAAAAAGACATTTTGTGAAAAAAAAAAATAGCTTTACGTGTTGTTCAAGTAGTCCAAGCTGAGGGAATTCAATCTCTAGTGGTGGGCGTTCTTTCAGAACATTAATATGCAGTTGCTTGAAAGCGATCACACCGAAAGAAGAGAACGAAGAATGGAAGGTCACCTGTCAAAACCACTTTTCCAGATACAAACACCAGCAAGAGAACACTCGGCCTGACCATCCGGTAAACGAGACCCGGGAACAGCTCTGGCTCGTAACTGCAAGACAAAGAGTACATGGGACATGGCAAGATCTTAGTAACAAAACACTAGTCTAATATATATTCGGTCTCTGCGCTTTAACGACAAGTGTTCACAGGCTCAGTAAATTTGCGTTTCAAAGACGCGGCTAAAGAAGAAAACTTCTCTAATTAAGTACTACGGTTTAACGCATGTTTTATGTGCTACGCAAGCCCAGAGGATCCCTACATCGTCATTCTATATCGCCTTGATGGTTCAATAATAGTATGGTAACATCACCTAGACGATGCCAGATGTTCGGGGCCCCCACGCAATTACCTACACAACAACGTTACTACGTGAGAAAAACGATAGTACAGGGGAACATAAAACACGTAGAACAAGCGCGAAAACACATTACTTTTGCCACAATTTGATCGCATGCGAACCACAGTAACGCAGTCGCACATCGACCCTGTGGGCAGTCGACAATATGAGCTGAGCTAGTAATACGGGCAACCACAACGCCGTCCGTTTCAAGGAAATGCAATTCGTGTACCCGTTCATCGCTTAACTGACAGGGCAAAGCAGAGCGTCGCAGCGATCTCCAAGTATTGGCTCCAAGTATTGGCTCCAAGTATTGGCTCCAAGCATTGTGGGGGAAGCGACCATCGCTCCTCCGGGAGAACGCGACGAGCGCGACGACATGGGGTGGCGGTTCACCGCGAAATGCGCCGTCGTGCGTCTCATGCATGTCCCTCGGAAGTGTTTTATCGTCGGATGGTGCACGGCCACTTTGAAACAACGTTTTAGTTTTAGAAAGAACGCAAGAGATATTTTGCCGAATCATCCAAGCATAAAAAAAAAAAGAGAATGCCGGGAAGGTACACGCGATACGCGTGCTGGCGTCTTCAATTTTTTTTTTTTTTTTGTAGAGAAGGCGAGCGCGTGCAGCGGCGTGTACTGACGTTTCCAACATTCTCTTTCATGCTTGGATAATTTAGCGAAAGGTCTATTACACGTGTCTATAGACCCTTTCCGAAATTCAGTGCCATCTGGTGGCTGAAATGGCGGTTTAACTTTTGCCATACGAATGGCGGCAATGAACCCGTAGCCTGCAGTATTTTATCGGGCGCCGTCACTTTTGCATGTCAACGGCAGACGTGAATGAACTTTTCGCTATACAGGTTTTTCTGGATCATCTCTTCCAGTGTCGATTCCCACAACGATGCAACCAGTCAGAACGAAGCGCCAACCCAGAGAGACGTTTTGATAAAGTTCTATAAGTCAAGGGCTTCCGAAGTCGATTTTGTGCCACTAACAGGTTCACTGGGCTCGAATTAGAGAAATGAACACTTACGCAGCGCTTGCATTCAATTCCGGTTTCGCAACGTGCTAACGTCTAGAATGTGTAGGCCTCAAATCCTCAGCTTAGGAGTATCTTCAACATGTTCCTTCATCAGTAAATAGAAAGCCGCCATTGGTATGGCACATATGCCATTTTTAGATGGTGATGATAGTGATCAAAGTGGCCAGACTGAATTTCGGAAAGGGTCTATTGCACCGTCGTTACTGTGCTATATCGCTGCCATCGTTCACCAAGCCTTAATGATTTTGGTGTCGTAGCCAAACAATGAGAACACTTACGTTCGAGTATTTGAGTAAGAAAGGTGAGTGCCGAGGAGGTGAGCACAGTATTGGCGCACGGAGCCATAGCAGCTGCCTCCACAGCAGTATCGTCTGGTGTGATATTCCAGGGGATATGCAAGACGGCGGGACCAGGGGCTGGGACATCGCCGCCTGCTGCGATTGGTCAGCGCATAGCTGCTGACCAATTGCATCAGGCGGCGATATCCCGGTCCATTCGGCCCGCCTCGTCCCGCCGCCTTGCATAGCTCCCTAGAACCATTCAGAGTGAGTCCCGGCAGAAGTATCCCCCATCCCATAGCTTCTGACGACATATTTCTCATCGCATTCCTCAAATATTTTAGAGCGCAGCTCTTAGGGGCCCGTTCCCGGCTTGAGCGGCGTCGGCGTCGGCGTCGCCGTCGGCGTCGGCGTAACCAAGGTCATCCCAAGGTCACGTGACCCCTCCCAAGGTCATCTCAAGGTCACGTGACCCACGTGACCCCCTGAAGGTCACGTGACCCCCGAGGTCACGTGACCTTGGGGGTCACGTGGGGTCATCTTGGGATCACGTGACCCCTCCCAAGGTCATCTCAAGGTCACGTGACCCCAAGATGACCCCACGTGACCCTTTGAAGGTCACGTGACCCCAAAGGTCACGTGACCCCCAAGTCACGTGACCCCTCTGAGGTCACGTGACCCCCGAGGTCACGTGGTCTCCTCCCCAAGGTCACGTGACCCCTCCCAAGGACATCTCAAGGTCACGTGACCCCAAGGTGACCCCCCAGGTCACGTGACCCCTCTGAGGTCACGTGACCCCTCCAGGTCACGTGACCCCCAAGGTCACGTGACCCCTGAGGTCACGTGGGGGTCACCTTGGGGGTCACGTGACCTTGAGGTGACCCCCATGTGACACCCAAGGTCACGTGACCCCTAGGTCACGCCTCCCCGAGGTCACGTGACCCCCCTCCCCGAAGTCACGTGACACCCCCCCCGGAGCCTATTAAAGAATGAGGGGAGGAGGAGGAGAAGGAGGAGGGGTCTACCCTCCCCTCTGTACCCTTCACTCCTCCTCCTCAAGAGCTGCGCTCCAATTCGGCGTTACAGGGATTTGTAAACGGCTTTTTTTTTTCTAAACGAGTACAAAGCTTGAGAGGGGTTAGAACCCGGGCACTTACCACGAAAACTGCGGGTGATTCAGGGCCAGAGCCTCGAGCTTTATCAAGAACCCAACGTCGGCACTGGCAACGATGTTCTGGATTTTGAAGTCCGAAAATTGGGCCTAACAAAAACAAACAAAAAAAACACGCTAGCGGTAAGCATTTCGCGTGAACATATTTTTCTTCTCACCGTGGTTACTACACCGAAACACCATATCGCCATTCGTATGTAATGAGTTGTGGTTAACAGTTGAGCTTAGACCGATTTTTCCCCCGTCGAATAATCTTCCGTCTATATGTCTTCTGCATAAAGATTTTTTTTTTTATTCACCATCTCTAAATCAGTATCTTCTTTCCCGACCGTCTCATCCTTCATCCAGACTCGACCATCGCAATGAAAAAGCCGGGCCGCAGTGTTTTTCAACAGCATGCCAGCATGTTCCTCTCCCTATCGCAATTGTGGACTGAAATGACCTGCCCGAAGACATCGTCACCATCCAGGACCCCATCAGATTTCGAGAAGCAGCTTCCATCATTGCGCGTAACACTCACTCCCCTCTCTAACGCCGTATGGCTCTGAGGGTATCGTAAATAAACAAATAGATCGCAATTGTACTTACGTCGAAACCAAGTTTCTGCGTTATGCGTGCGAACTTCCGTGCGGCGACCCGGGAGTGAAATTCGCTAAAACACAGCAATAGTGCATTCAGTTAAAATCCAAAATTTTCCCAAATTCTTCAATTATTTTATTAACACCAAATGTGTTTCATAAGCCAAATTCGACGAGAAAATTGTCACATAGTACCGTTACGAAGAACCCTAACGTCAATTTTCCCGCTTAATTAAATGGAGAAATTGACCACGTCATGTTACCCCTTTACGTGAGGTCAATTTATTGCGAGATGATAGTATGGTGCCTAAAACTCGTCTTCGAGTAATGTGCTTACCCCATGAAAAAAAAAAAAAAGCAGTCTCTCGATTTCTTTTATGACGTCATAATGGTGTCATGCCGTCGGCGGCCGCCATCTTGGTGGTGTCACAGCAGCAGTACTGGATGTGGCAGACACCTGTTCTGCTACACGTCACTATCCTGCTTGAGAATCTATGGAAACTTCGGCAGCCGAGACTCGGGAGTTGGGACTCCACGACGAATGCAACACTCGCGTTTCTTCGGTGCTTTTTGCCGGAACCCCCATGGCCAACCACCAGGATCGCAACGTCGGACAGTATATCACTCCGGCTTTTATGACGTCATTTGTTGCCAGTTCAGGAGCACTTTTGATGCGTGGGCGGGAGAGTTCGCTAAACACATGGACGCCGAAAATCTACACGCTGTTCGACGTTTACTCGTATTTTATCGGCTAACTTTATATATGTTTATATATATTATATCAATTTTGACACTGCAGGTAAAACAGCTTCGCCTTTATGGTGACGCACCATCAGTTCGTGTCAAAGAGAGCCAACAAAACAAATCCGCATTTTTTTCGACTATTGCTGCGCTTTAATACTTTACACACCGCGGCCTGTTTCTTTGCACAAATGGTTTTGCAATTTAGTAAGTTAAATTCCCTCCCCTTTCAAATAAATACCGAGGCCGATATTTTAGTACATTAAATGCATACTTAGTACGTCGAGGACCGTCGTAAACAAAACATAAAAACTTTTCTTTTAATACACGGAATCACAGAAAGAGGTAAGCCCGTGTTTTTACCCTTCCATGAGCTTCATTGTATTTGCTTAAATTGGTTTCTAAACAACCTCACCATCAGCATCGAGATTCAGCTTGCAAGCACACTGTTGTAACTAAACAAAACAAAAAAGTCAGAAACTATGTTTGACTTTTTTTCCATGGTATGCTACAAGGGGAAGTGTGGCCAGCGTTTGCTTCTCCCAGCGGACGAGAGCGGTCCCACGATTCATGCCTCGAGTCCCTCTATCAACATGATATCATCGGCGAGACGACAGCAGTGCCACAACGGCAAATACCACTTCATTCTTTAGAAGTGCTCAATCTGCACATTTTTTTTTTTTTTTAGTTTTTGCATTTTTTTCTAGCCAGATGGTGCTGTTTCCACACCGACTATATGCTGCGTTTTGTCGGCATGACTCGCGGGACGGCTCCGGACCGTGCCGATAATCGCACCTCCCCTTTTCCAACCGCCGGAACATGGCTAAAAATCACGACTTCGTCGCTCACATGATACAATAGGTGGCAGAGCGCGCACGAAAGTGTCCCAGCCAGGGGAGGCTGCGGCCCAACGGTATGGCCACACTACTTTCGTGTCTGAAGGTCTCACCTCTTGGCCCCCGTGCAGACCACCTTGCCGGAGTTGAAGAGCAGCGCCGTCGTCCTCGGCTCTCGTATGCGCATGATGACGGCAGCGAAGCGTCTCGGGTTGTACTCGGCGTTCCGGGCCATCAGCGCGATCCGGCGCAAGTCCAGTCGGCAGCAGAGATTCACAGTGGCCACAATGTTCCTGCAAACACGGTACAGATATGACCCCCGTTGGAGAGTGAATAGGGAGATTTAGCAGATCGTTCCGATACCTCCGATAACGATACGATGCAGGCGCAAAGGCGGCGGCTGGGTATCGGGTGCCATTATCGGAGTCAACGATCTACTACGCATTTGCGCAAGCAGCGTATTCTTATCGGACATCGTTACGGGGGTATCGAAACCATCATCTAAAACTTTCTAATATCGGAAGAAGAACCTATGCATATATCGGGCACTGTTCACGCTAGTTTTTAAAGCTTCGAACAGAACCACCAGTCATTGAAATCTTCCCATCTGTCCGTGCACTTTCCCGTTAAACTTAGCGGAGAAATTGACGTCACGTGACGTCATGGCATCTTGTGGCAGAATGACGCCACATCACGGGACAACGCAGAGTGGCGTCACTGTATCAGACGACCCCACGACTTGACACCGTGACACCACGTCACGTGTCTCGGGTGATGTCAGGTCACGTGCCGTCAAGTTCCCGACTAAATCTAGCGGAGAAATTGACGTCACGTGACTTGACTAATGATGGCACGTGACGTCAGGTCATACAATATGGTGACAACACATATCGTGACCACGCGGTGTGAGATCAATTTATATTAATTATATTATATTGAAAATTTGGAATTGTCTATATCCGCGGCCGGGATTGTGGTTCTTCGTGAACGAATGAACTCAACTGCAACTGAGGAACAATGCCGTGGTTCCTTGCCGACGCTCTCGGAGACAGAAGTTTCGGAGTGCCGAGCAGACTCGAACAGGGCGTCCACGAGACTGAGGTAGCCGGAGAGGCGACGGAACTCGACGATGCCTGCGCGCCCACGAGAAAGCACACCGCAGTGAGTTCTCGGTGAGTTGTAGAGAATATAGTCCGGGTTTAATGCGAGTAGTATGGCAATGCTCGTGGACTTTTCGTGGTATTTCCGAGGACAGGAGGAATGCTAACGCGCAGCTTTAATCAGCGCTCAAAAAGGTAGAGGGCATGCGTGTCCCTTTATATATGACTGCATTGCCAGGAAACGTTGTCCCCAAATATAAGTAAAGAACTCCCCCCCCCCCCCCCTTTTAAAAACAATCGTTTTTCTTTGCGCTGCCATTTTTGTCTACTCGGTCGTGGAACGCCTTCCGATCTAGCGCTATTGCTATGCGGTGCGCTACATCAGACGCTGCGCATGCGTCCGCAGCTTAGTGACTCGGCATTTTTCTCCCGGGTGATGAGCGCCCGAAAGGTCTAACCATTCGTCTAACGCATTGCAGGAAGATGTCAACCCTGACCGTGATTGCACAAGGAGCACAGCCCCCCCCCCCCCCCCCCCCTATCAACTCATAACATATAATTAGGGTGTGTACTTTCCGGTGTTTATTTGTGAGAAAAATCGGCGGATGTTTTTCGGTGTTTATTTATTTTCAAAACACCGGTGTATTTCGGTGGAACGTGTTACGACGAGGCTAAAATCGGTGATCATCGGTGAAAAAAAAAGCGATTGATCGCAGACAAAGAGTTCCAATTTTATTCACATAGTTCATACACTTCTTCTCTAGGAAGCAACTATTTCTCACACTTGGTTATCATAGTAGATGCCAAGCATATTTTCATGCTTGCATCTACACGCAAGAAACGTGCTGCCGTCATGGCAGCACGTTCCTTGCGGTTCGCAACCCGCAATTATGAAAACGCACGCTCCTGTACGACACGGACGTTGGCAGTGTCTTCCAGGAACCAGAGCAACCTCTGAATACATGGCTTGAACCGACATCACTTGGCCAGACACAATGAGGAAAAGGCCCGTGAGAGCCTACCCCCCACCGCGTTAATTTTTCCACAAAAGGGGGCCATGGGAGACACAATAGGTGAAAGGCGTATGAGAGCTTAGCTTCCACTGCGTTCACTAGACGCTTTTGACCCCCAGAAAGGAGGGTGGATTGACGCTACCTGCAAGCCATGTATAAACACTGGAAGAACGCAGGATCCACGAGATAACACGTTTGACGAACCTCTACGGGGAAAGGGTTTCGCTAGGTCGGAAACTAGCAACGACCGGTGTTTTTCGGTTTTAACCAGGGCGAAAATAGCCAACCACCGGTGTTTTTCGGTTTTAACCGATTTTATATTTTCGTCACCGGCGGATGTTTATCGGTGTTTTTCGGTTAAAACCGGAAAATACACACCCTACATATAATGAATCGAAAATCAAGACGTGCCCTTATGGCGTGGAAAAATGACTAAGATCTGTTCACTCTCTTCGCTGGCCCTTGGAACTATCCTTCGCTTCCCCTAAGTCAAGACGCAGCCGACGCTACGAGCCAACAGTACCAATCGAACAGCGTCAAAAGCGCAACGTCATGGTGTTCGTCAAATGTTGTACGTGTTCGCTCTATCCTCGTTAACTGATCATGTACAGGAAAGACCCAGTGACTTGCGCTTTCCACGCTGTTTGATTGGTCCCATCAACTCGTAGCGTCGGCTGCGTGTGGTGTGGACTTAAATTGAGACGAAGTCTAACTTGATCTCTTCCCGTCTGCCCCTGAAACTTTTTTTTTTTTTTTTGCTTTTGTAATAGATTTTTTCTTTTTTTTGCATTAAAAGGTGTATGGTGTATAAACGGAATAAACTTATCACGCCGGCGAAAAACGCAGAGTCACTGAGTTGCGGACGCATGCGTGGAGGCTGATATTCCACAAAAGAGAACTACTGCGCACGCTGAGAATGCATTTTACAGTGAAGTAGATAATATGGCAGGCGCTCAAGAAACTCGATTCGTGGAACAATCTACAGGCCCTTCAACGTTACTATAGAACCACTCAGTTGGGAAAATGCCATAGAGCCTGCTCTGAAAAAGTGGAACCGATCCGTACTCGAGAAGTGAGCTAATGGCGATCGCAACGCCGCCATTTCTCCCGCAGCGGGCACTCGAGGAACTGCACGTGACTTCTATTTTGGCTTCAATCGGCCATTTTGGCACCGAAACACATACGCTGGAAGGGGTTTCAGGGGTGCCACCCCCGTCTCCCAAGCGGACGCGCCGCGAATTATTACCAAAGTTAGGATGCACCCAGGTCGGGACGCGCTAATTGAAATCATTGCTCAGGTATGGTGGTGTAAATATCAATTATGCCGCAAAACCTTGCAAACTTAAGATTTAAAAAAAAAAAATACATTACGTGCCCGTTATTTTGTACTAAACTCCAAAAAATATTACTACAAAAAATGTTTTTCCTGTTTGTTTTTACGCAAAAACATGCTTTTTAAGAGCTCAGGGTGAGCACAGTAAAGACAAATGATAGAGTGGCGCTGTTGTCGTATTTAGCTCGGTCTCGGTGGACGCCAGCGGCCCGGGTTTCAACGGTGAGTTTCCCAACTGAGTGTTCTAGTAACGTTGAGGCCCTTTTACAAACTAGCGTTAGGAGCACGTTTGACCCATGTTGAGGGACTTAGGGTGAAATACAACCGCAAGTTTTCACAAAAAAAAAATAATTAAAAACTGGCTGCATGTTTGCTTACTTTGCTGAACGCGTTCGAATGCGGTAGCTTTACAGGGTGGGTGGTGCCTAAGGCAGGATGACCCTTAGTCGTTCAGTGCCTGAAGTGAGTGGTGCTCTTTGTTCAGGTGGTGCCTAGGGCAGGGTTTATCCCTTTGTGACGCTGCGCGCGCTTTCCTTCAGCACGTCACCCGGATACAAAGCCTTTCCGCTGAATTTTCTTAGTCACCAAGAGAGGGGAAGAGCGCTTTCCTGCCCGTTCCGCTCCTCCTCGTTCCGCTTGCTTTTTCAACACCACCTGTTTCTGCTCCTCCCTTTTCTTGCCCTTTCAAACCCTCTTCGTTCCGCGCGCTTTGTTACACCACCTGCTTCTGCTTTCCCGTTCCTGCCTGCTGGGTCCGTAGCTCAGTCATCAGCGCACTTGGCTTCTATGCCGGTCACCGGGTTTCGATCTTGGCACCGGTGGCCGTTTTATTCAAGATCGTTTAGTGGTTAAAGACTGACCGGCCGTCACATTTCGTGCTTACCTGAGGTTCGTTGGCCCTACGAGACTACTGGTTTAAAGAGCGACGCCTGAGGTTCGTTGGCCCTACGAGACTACTGGTTTAAAGAGCGACGCCTGAGGTTCGTTGGCCCTACGAGACTACTGGTTTAAAGAGCGACGCCAGAGGTTCGTTGGCCCTACGAGACTACTGGTTTAAAGAGCGACGCAACACTTGTTTGTAGTGCGACAGTCTCCCACAGTATGAAAGATACATTTGCCGATGCAGTTTCAGAGGTGGTGCTAAGCACACCTTGGCCAGATGCACCTTACTTTTAGAAAGATAGTAGAAACGAAGAAAATAATTTATTCCCTCGCTTCAATTACGACTGCCTGGCCAACGCAAAGCCAGCACAGCCGCCCAAAGCCGACTGGTTAATTTTTTTTTTTTTTTGTTTTGTATTGTTTGAGACTGTACTTCGCAGTCGAATCCCGGCGTAAGCACCCGGAACGTACTGAAACGTATGTGCTCTAACGTTGGTGTATATAAGTGTACCATTGTGACCCCAAGAGGCGGGATATGTTGCTTGTTGATTGCTAATGTAATACAACGTTTTTTAAAACTCTACTTTAAGTGATACTTCAGCGAAATTCTAGCATCTATTTTATTGTCTAAATGTCAATCACATTCTAGCCACACCACGGAGACACGAGTTGTTTGGATCGAAAGGACACCAAAATATTATTTAAAAGGAATAAACCACGGTTACTTCACTGTGAACTAAAAAGCAGTGCCGATCCGCAGAAGTACGGCAACAAGCTGCGTCCGCGCCAGCTCTCTCAAACCGGATTTCCCTTCTCTCCCGGCCTATTCAACTCCTCTAGGGGCCCTCAACTCGTCAAACACAAAGTTGGAGCCGAAAGTTCGCAGAGCGCGACTGGGCGCCGGCGACAGAAGCGGAAAGTCATCGTCGTGATACTCCAGTCGGTGCGATCCGTCAACTTCGGCCCC